ATATATATATATATATGTCATATATATATATATATATATATATATATATATATATATATATATATATATATATATATATATATGTATGACATATTTAAAGCACAATGAAAATAACTCGCTCAAGTTTTTAATAATGCCTATATACATTTTAGGATAATGTGACATAAGTATAATAAATAAAAGATACAACAACAAATATAGTTAAAATATATTTATTTTTTATTTTTTTAATAACAGCGACCTCAATTGGTCGTCGCAACAAATTTTGCATATGTCGTTCCACTTCACTGAAGGTTGTTGAAGATATCCAGTAAACATAAAGTATCATCGATAAAATGTTGATATATGTACATTGGCAGAAAAAAATTGAATTTATTTTAGTACGACAACATTTCACCTATACGGCATGCATTGCATTCTGTATTGAAAACTGTACCATAATTCTCGTGATCACCCATCAGAGATACTTGTAGGCGAAGAAAACTTGTCCCCATATATACCCAGAAAACACAAAGTATCATCGATGTTACAATGTCAGCTCAATCATATGGTATATTACGTAACTGTTACTTTGTTATATAAAAAAGTAACAGTTACATAATATACCATATGATTGAGCTGACATTGTAATATGTTGCCCATGGGAAAACCCATGAGAGGCACATCAATGTTGCACTAATAGAAACAGCGGTGACATACAATGACATGCATGTTTTATAGATACTGGTTTTGCTCACGCTGAAATAGGTATAATGTTGAAGTAGTTGGTATAAATTACAGTATTATTACATGTTAAAATGCGATTTCTGTGATAATAGTACGCAGAGACTTACCAGGTGTGGTGTAGAGTCAGCTATGAGTCTGCGACTACTATCAGCGACCAATATATGGCAGTAGTTTTTCTCTCTCCTGCATATCTCTGGGCCACTGCTGCACTGTGACTGTTTTATTTAGTTGCATGAGTGTTTGTGACCGTCGCTGCCTTTTCCTGTGTAGCTGCAATAACACCTTTGGCTGTCATAGGGTCACAAGCACACCTAACCTCCACAGCAATTTGTTACTTTGACAGTTGCTGTCTGGGAGGTTATTATATTTTGTAGCTGTGCAGCAGGCTTCTAGTGTATGTAACCTTCTAGTTTCCTAATAGTACTTGCAATTCAGAGCACTATTTGGTTAAATTTGTTAGTGAATAGGAAGAGCGTTGATTATATGCTGCGTACTCACAGCCCAGTGGTGAGTTAAGTGACAGGAGCTGGAAGGAAATAAAATACATTATACAACTAAAATACTGGAAGCAGACTTAGAGATATATTTATTTATACCAAACAGAACTCAGTTAACAGAAAATTCTCACAAATTTATTTGAGTGTGTCAGTGTGGCTGGCTTGGCGGAGGAGCCAGCAGGACCATATTACCGAGTCTCTGCCGAGGCCGTGCTCACTCAACTTATTATTAAATTGATAGAGAGGGAGGCGGAGAGATTACCAGAGGTGACGTAGTCGTGGATATCCTAAGGGCGACGTCCTCAGTTCCTCTGTTGACTGAGCTCAGCGGAGACTCCTCGACCGCTGCCTCTCCATTACTTCCCTCTTTCTGTGTGCAGCCGAGTCGGTGGGTGCGGACGTGGGAAGTGAAGCACGCTCTCTTCCTTCTCGTGAGATAGATCCGGGGCGGCGAACACCTGGTGGACGCTCTTCGGTGAAGCCACACACTGCACTGGAGGAGAGTGTCAGATCTTTGCCTAACATCTCCGGCTCGGTTTTAGCACTACAAATAACAAATCATTAATTTCTATTCACTGCGAGCGTGCGCGTTGCGTCGGGGACAACGGCAAGGGACGAACGCGCGACATAACCTCGTCGCGGCGACCCGAGTACGGCGACGTACAGCGGTGAACCGAGGCCAGCGCGGTTATCGTTCCGATATCGCGCCTCGTCGCTCGCGCGCGTCTCACTGCACTTTTCGAGTTTGACATTAATTTTCACTTATGGCGAACGGTCGCCAGGAGGTCGTGGTCATCCCGTACACCCGTAATGCTCGAATGCATTACGTGCCCGCGGTGCTGGGCAAGGTGTCGCTAAGGAATCGCAGAAGGAGAACAAGGGTTCGTTTAGCGACAGGCTGTACTTAGCTCGTCACCAAAAAACGTTCCGCGGCGACGCGGCGAACTAGCAATGGCTGCGTTCAGAAAACATAGCTGATCAGTGAGCGGTCAGTGATTATTGGTCCTTACTGTTAAATCTCTAACTTTAGATCAATTACATTGACGAATTGCTCAACTGTTGTGCAACTGTTGAGTTCGCTGAACGCACCCAATGGGCGCATTCAGTAGAAAAAGCGCTCAGTGAGCAATCAACGATTATTGGTTCTTGCTATTAGATCCCTAAATCTAGACCAATTACATTGACAAATTACTCAACTGTTGTGCAACTGTTGAGTCTGCTGAATGCAGCCAATGATGACGTCTGCCAAGACTTGCCTTTAAATAGCCGGCAAATTTTCAACTTTTCATAGTCGACTATAAGTTGACTGCGAAAAGCCGGCTATTAGCCGGCAAACCAAGAGTCGACTTTTAAGGTCCTCAAAATGGTTGACTGTGAGCCAGCTAACAGTCGACTGTTGAAGTCAGTCAGTACCAGACTTAAAATTGTCGGCTAATTGCCGACTTTATACAGTCGACTGAAAAAAGTCGACTGTCAGCGGGCAAACAGTCACACATGTTACTTGGGTAGTCATCTAAAGATGGGTGACTATGTAACACGGGGTCGAATCCACGCGAATCTTACGAATAAATAAAACGACAAAAAATATGAAATTATAATTTTTTGTTATTATTTAGATAAAATAATACTTCATTATACTTTTCTTAATCTATTTTAATTAATAATGATTTTTCACTGAATTTTTCTACATTTTTAATAAAATATTATTGAAATATTAATGAAATTATAATAAAATTTTAATAAAGTTGGGTCAAAATTGTGAATGCTTTTCAAAAGCATTTCAGCAAAAGTTCATTATATTTTCAATAAATTATTTTCATCAGATACAAATATCTCAATTGAGATCTTATATGCGAATTTTTACGGAAACGGCATTTGAGAATTCAATTGAGAATTCAACTGAGAATTGAATTGGGAATTTTACTGTTATCTCAACAGAAATTTTTCAGTAGAATAGTTTTGGGTTGTCATGAATCACATAATAGTAGCAGATGGTGATGTCTGTAACTTATTTCTGCTCTAGGGAAATGACTCGAAGAGATATTATCGGAAACACCCTATGTAACCTAGAGGGTTAGTGCCAACCTTATCCCCTCCACTTTTCGGGAAATTGTTGAGTAACTTTTGAATGCGACTCAACTTCCAGCATATGGAAATAACTCAACCATACTTACATCAAACCTAACCTAACCTGGGCAATTGGAGGCAATCTCTGGTTGGTCAACCACTGCGCATCTTCGGGAATGGTTCACCCACTGAAATATATACTATCTGGAACGCACACTACTTCATGGCTGCATTTCAAAACTCTACTCGGCGGATAGCATTTAATTGACCAATAAGAGCAAAAATAATTATGATTTCTTTATCATGTTTGGAAAATTAAATGTACTCTACCCGTCAAGTAAAGTTTTGGAACGCAGCCCTTGAGTATTGCGGAATGAGAGAGAGCATACTTGTAGATCTAGAATAGCGCTCTGTCTTTGTCTAGTACAGTCTGAACTAAAAACTATATCGGGTGATTTCTAAACATAAACTGAATCTCCGAATTAGGAACCATCTTTGCTTTGTTTTTCTTAATAATAAGTCGATAAGTGAATACTAATAAATAAGAAAAATATATATATATATTTTTTATATCTTAAACTTTCGTTCATGTCATTGCCATTCAGTGGTGACTGCTTTTTATATTGGGTGCTTTCCAGTTGCGTACATTGTGTTACACAAAACCAATTTATTGGTTGCATATTATCTTACAAGATATTTTAGATAATATGTGATCAATAAACTGGTTTTGTGTACGTGAGTCAAGAAGTTTGTTCGAGTTGCTTGTACTATTCATACTTTTACACCTAATGCTCGTTGCACACTAGTGCACCTCATACAATACAAATTTTCCAAAATACGTTATTAATATTCTGAAGACGCTTTTAGGACGGAGGGATGTCATCAGAATATTTTTAGGACGTCCTTTGAAGATCTGAGCTGTTTGAAAATAGCTAATATCCAATAAGTTTATTTGCATTAATTGAACTTTTTACACTTTCACACTTAGTGCACATTAATTCTTTAGAAGTTCTAAAAATAACGTAATGATTTCCGTTTGTGTTACGAATGTAAATGCAATTCTGATACACTTTTTACACTTGATCCCAAGCAAGAGTAAAAAGTGTATCAGAATTGCATTTACACTCGTAACACGAATAGAAAACATGACGCCATTTTTTGAACCTCTAATGGCTCCTACACATAGGACGTGGTAATGCTTGCCGCACGGCGGAAGTTTGCGCGACAGCCAATCAATATATTGTTTTTCCGTAAAAGCTAGAAGGTTATTACGGAAAGCAGCATATTGATTGGCTGTCGCGCGAACTTCCGCCGCGTGGCAAGCATTACCGCGTCCTGTGTGCAGAAGCCATAAGGGCACCGTCCCACGGAGCGAAAATTTTCAGCGGAACGGAACGTGCGGAGTTAGCACGACCAATTACAGCCGTTCCGCTTTTCTTCAGGCGCTTTTTCTATTATCCTATGGAGCGGAATACGTGGATCACGGGGAATAATACAAAAAGTAGACTTTTTTAATATTATTTCTTACGTTTTTAATAATTTTAATAATATTTTAAACAAATAATATAATATATGATAATTTAGTAAAGAGTAACATTAGTTTTTCAGTAAAATACTTTTTACAAAAATATGCAATTATTTTACGATTGGCTGAAACATAATTCCGCTGCCGCGTTTACCGCTTCATGAGACAGAAGGAACAGTATATCAGCGGAATTGCGGTGACACATTATGTAGTATAATAAAGTGAAATCTATTGTGATTAATTATGAATAATATATTATGTGATTTTTGTCGACTGTGGCAATAACCGCATTTTATTTTCTATAAACATATTCACATAGTGTACATAACTTGTTTACTACAATTATCAAAATATTAATATCTTATTATTTACGATCCCTCCTACGATATTAATATTACTTACGATCCCTCCTATGATATTAATATTACTTACGATCACTCATCATTTCTAAACGAAATAAAGAAAATAAAGAATATCGAAAAAACATATATATAATAAATATAAGAAGCAAATGAGATATGTAAGATATATTGAGGTTATCCGCGATTATCTTTATCCTTTCCGCAAAATTGCAGTGGTAAGATTATAGTGAAACGGCACACAAAAGAGCGGAACGGCTGTGTTTGGTCGTACTGGTTCCGCATGTTTTGTTCCGCGGAGAATTTCCGCTCCATGTAACGTCGGCCTAAAGAATTAATGTATACTAAGTGTGAAAGTGTAAAAAGTTCAATTAATGTGAATAAATTTATTGGATATTAGCTATTTTCAGACAATTCATACCTTCAAAGGACGTCCTAAGAATATTCTGATGACGTCCCTCCGTCCTGAAAACGTCTTCAGAATGTATTTTGGAAAATTTATGTTGTTTGAGGTGCATTAGTGTGCAACGGGTATTAAGTGTAAAAGTGTGAAAAGTACAAGCAAGTCGAACAAACCTAATGGCTCCTGCACACAGGACGCGGTAATGCTTGCCGCGCGGCGGAAATTCGCGCGGCAGCCAATCAATATGCTGCTTTCCGTAATAACCTTCTAGCTCTTACGGAAAAACAACATATTGATTGGCTGTCGCGCGAACTTCCGCCGCGCGGCAAGTATTACCACGTCCTGTGTGCAGGAGCCATAAAATATGTTCCTTCCTTCCTTCAATATTTGGCTAGAGGCGTATCCGTGACTCATATCCCAACGCCATTACTGAATAAAATATGTTAAGCAATTGGAAAGTACCCATAAGTGTCGGTCTACAACCTCACTTTAAGCGAGTGGGACCCGATTGACCACAATACAATTGGACACAGATTGTAATGATTGGTTCGAGCTAGTAATTCATTAGATAATTCTTTTCATCGGTTGGTTGTGTCCAATCGTACCGTGATCAATCGGGACGCTCCCACTTTAAGCTTTAAGCCTTAAGCAACTGACCAACCGCGGGAGCGTCCTGATTGACCACGGTACGATTGGACACAACCAACCAATGAAAAGAATTATCTAGTGAATTACTAGGTCGAACCAATCATTACAATCTGTGTCCAATCGTATCGTGGTCAATCGGTTTCCACCCACCAACCACAGTCAATTATTCTCCTTAAGAATAATCGATTGTGACTGGTTGCTTACGATTAAAGCTTAAAGCGAAGTTGTAAACCGACACTAATGTTTAACTTTTAACTTGGATTGTATCACATTCTCTCCACTCTCGATTATATTATAAACCAAACAAGGATAAGAGAAGAAACAAGAAACCTCTTTTTCATCCCGCACGCTTCAAAAGACGCGTTCCAGGTAGTATAGGATGCTTTCCAATTGCTTAACACATTTTGACACACACGTACACAAAACCAGTTTATTGGTCACATATTATCTAAAATACCTTGTAAGATAATATGCAACCAATAAACTGGTTTTGTGTAACACAGTGTACGCAACTGGAAAGCACCCATATATTTCAGTGGATTCACCTTAAGGTTGGTTTATGATGGCCGTAATCCGTTAACTTATGCCGGAATCGTAAAAAATTGACCAATTATAGTCGAATTATAGATGAATAATCGACTGTGATTGGTCAATTTTTTACGGTTCCAGCATAAGTTAACGAATTACGGCCATCATAAACCGGCCTTTAGATCTGTTTTTTTCCTCTGCACTGGCGGCACTAGTGCAAGCAGTGTCTAGTGAACACTAAAGTGTTCTTTTCAACGATTACGGCGACTTTATAACGTGATCATCGCTGTTCGGCCTCCTCAGTACAGCGGTACTCAATACAACAGAAGACTACACTGCCTGCCCTAGAGGCCTGTTCTATGGTTTGTTTTTTTCGCCTGCACTGCTGAATGGTGCAATAAGTTAGAGTGAGAAAACGTATATTTGTCTCACTTCAATATATTGCACTAGTTCAGCAGTGCAACTACAAAGAACAGGCCTTTTGTATTCTTAAGCTAGCGACACACGGTACTTGTTTACGTGCAGATTGTTTGCTGAATGGAAATACTCTGTTTTTGATTGGTGTATTTCCATCCATCTTCAGAAATGCACCAATCAGCAAGCAATCCAGCATGAAAACAAGCACCGTGTGCCGCTGGTTTTACATCATGCACAGCCATACTGTACACTTTCCTAACTAATACAGTCAGTGCAGCTACATACCTAGTGCAAAGAACATACCTATAGTAAATGTGATAAATTTTGGCTTCTATTGTGTGCAAAATTTAGTTTAATAGAAGTCAATTTGTGAAACGCTTTTTTATAAGTAATCTATTACAATGGTACGAAAATTAAAGTATCACGAGCAAAAGCTGTTAAAGAAAGTAGATTTTATATCTTGGTCAGCTGACAATAACCTTCACGAAGTTAAGATCTTAAAACGATATTGTATTCAGAGAAGAGCTGATTATACTATGTAATTATAATATTTATTTAACTAATGTCTAGTATATATTATGATAAAATAATCTAAATATATTTCGCGAAATTACATATTTTTGTTGTAGATACAACAAATTGTCACGCGAGATACGTGAGTTGGGTAGAAAAATAAAAGAAATAGATCCTGATCATCCTTTTCGTATAGAACAGAGTGCTTTATTATTGGAGAAGCTATACATGCTAGGTTTAATCTCTACAAAGTGGGACTTGTCTCAAACTCAGAAAGTAACTGCCAGTTCATTTTGCAGACGAAGATTACCAGTAGTTATGGTACGGAATAAAATGAGTCAAACGATAAAAATGGCAACTAAGTTTATAGAACAAGGCCATGTTAGAGTTGGTGTAGAAGTAGTAAAGGATCCTGCTTTTCTAGTAACAAGGTAATAAATATGTATCTTTTTAGTTTAATATAAGCAAGTAACTTAAACAATAAAAAAGCCATACGATATTTTATATTATATATATATATATATATATATATATATATATATATATAAATTATGGAATATTTTATATTATATATATATATATATATATATATATATATATA